CACTCAGTCCTGCCAGCAGGAACCCTTATCTGCCTTTGACAGATAAGGCAGGGAAGGCAGTGAAGACAGGAACACCATCAGGCTCCTCTCAGGAGGCTGGGAGAAGACAAAAATGCATTCTGTGGAAGCAACAGTGCCAAACCTTTCCCCTCGCCTGGCTGAGACGGAGGCCCCCACTTCTCCACAGGCTCCCCCTGCGTCTTCAAGACCTTTCTTTTCCCAGGACACCTTGCCTGGCTCAGGTGACATCTATTCCTCAGTGATGGTGGGTGAAGTTGCGTTGGGAAACTGAGGAAAGGGAGGAGGAGAAGAGGTGCTGGGCTGGATGGAACAGAGCTGGTGACCAATGCCAGGAGCTCTGGCACAGGGGTGGGGGCTCTCCCCTTCAGATCCCACCCACACTGAGGCCCGATTGAGAAGGGAGCTAAAGGGCGGGAGGGAGTGTCAGGCAGCCCAGAGCCACCCCCACTCTCCCATTCCCTCCCACTTCTCTACTACAGTTGGCCTAGACTGCTACTTCTGGATCTCATAGGGAGATCTGGGTAGAGCTGGGAGACCCTCAGTTCCCACTGAGAACAGAAAATCCTTCTACCTCCATCCTAGTCAGGGAGATGTGGGTGTGGGGTGGGTGAGGTGGCGGAGCAGTTACTCAGGAGGCCAACTGCAGTCAGAGCTGGATTGTAATCCCTTCTTCACCACTGAGGGGAACTTTGGCTCAACGAGTGAAATAACCTGTCCATGGGGATCTGCCGCTTCCAAAGTGACCTTCCTAAATTGCAAAAATGATTGTGACTCTCCTTCCAAAGAGTCCCCCTTAGCGGCACATAAATGTGTGACAAGAGTGATGTGGCATGACCTAATGCAGTGTGGCCTTCGTGAGTTCTGAAAGCAGACAACCCTAGACTCAAGCTGCAGCTATTCCTTGCTGGATAAACTTGGGAATGTTCCGCACCATCTACGAGCTTCATTTCCTCATCAAGGAAATGGGAATGACAGTACTTCTCTCCCGCGGTTTTTGCGACTTTCTTGTGTGAAAGCACAAGAGTACTCAGAAAATGTGAGTAATTATTATTTTTTCTAAAATTATGTATTGTCATTTTTTTTTGAGAGAGAGAGAGGTTTGCTCTGTTGCCCAGGCTGGAGTAAAACGGCACTATCTGGACTCACTGCAACCTCTGCCTCCTGGGTTCAAGAGATTCTCCTGCCTCGGCCTCCCGAGTAGCTGGGATTATAGGCACCCACCATCATGTCCAACTGATTTTTGTATTTTTAGTAGAGACGGCGTTTCACCATGTTGTCCAGGGTGGTCTCAAACTCCTGATCTCAAGTCATTCGCCTGTCTCAGCCTCCCAAAGTGCTGGGATTATAGGCGTGAGCCACCGCACCCGGCCTTGTCATCATTTCTTGATCAAGCAGCACTGACTTTATGATGAAACTAAATAGTTTAAAAGATTGAGTGGGCCAGGTATGGTGGCTCACACTTGTAATCCCTGCACTTTGGGGGGCCAAGGCAGGAGGATCGCTTGAACCCAGGAATTTGAGACCAGCCTGGACAACAAAGCAAGATCCTGTCTCTTATTTTATTTTAAAGATCGAGTGCACATATCCAACCACCCAGAAATTCCACTACTAGGGGACACCCTAGTGAAACACATATGTGCAAAGAACAATCGTACAAGAATATTCACTGTCTGAATAGCAAAACACTGGGAACACTTCGACATCCATCAAGAAGGATAAATAAACAAATGGAAGTGTCTACATAGGGCGGTATATCACACATCACGGCAAGTGGGACAAGAGCTGCAGGATCAAGGCTAGATCTCAGAAACCTGAAGTTGAGTGTGAAAACGCAAGCTGCAGCATGACACATGCTATAGGACTCAATTCACAGAAAACTTCAAAGAACAAACTACAAACTACCTTTTTTTTTTTTTTTTTTTTTTGAGACAGAGTTTTGCTGTTGTTGCCCAGGCTGCAACCTCTGCCTCCTGGGTTCAAGTGATTCTCCTCCCTCAACCTCCCAAGTAGCTGGGATTACAGGCATGTGCCACCACGCTTGGCTAATTTAATATTTTTAGTAGAGACGGGGTTTCTCCATGTTGGTCAGCCTGGTCTCGAACTTCTGACCTCAGGTGATCCGCTTGCCTCAGCATCCCAAAGTGCTGGGATTATAGACATGAGCCACCATGCCTGACCCAAACTACATATTTTTAAGACTCACATACACTGAGCAAAATAATAAAAACAGGGAAATGATAAAACCTAAATTCAGGATGGCAATTAACTCTGGAGACTGAAGAAGGGAAGAGGTTTCCACAGGACTTTCAAGGGTCTCTGCTATGGTTTATTTCTTAAAAAGAATATAAAATGGATGGGACACAATGTTAATATCTGACAAAGTTGGGTGGCAAAAGTATGGGAGTTCATTTTATTATTTGCTATATTTTTCTGAAGGCTTTAAATGTTTCATGATTTTTAAAGAGGTAGAGATTTAAGGGTTTCATTCGTCCACCACTGACCATCTGGGCCCAGAGCAGGCCTCAATGAGTGTTTGCTGAGCGAGTGAGTAAGTGTCTCTATAGTGAAGGTGAGAATGGTCCTGCGGCGTGCGGCCCTCCTCTGCTCAGATCCCACCAGGATGACCCTAACCAGGGGTGGGGACAGACGGACAAGTGGCCTCAGAGAAGAGTGGGCAGGCATGCAGAGAGGCAGGTAGGGCTCAGCATAAGGAAGACCCACCAGCGTAAGAGCAAGCCTGCTGTCCTGAGGCCTGCAGCAGGGCCAGAGAAGCTGGGGTTGTGGAGGGCACTTAAACACGGAGGTAAGCATATGAGGAAGTGGGATGAATGTGGTTTTCAGCCAGGGAGTCTAGGCTTCTTTGATAGACAGCTTGCTACATGCCCGACTTCTCTCCTGGAAACCACTTTTCTGGACCCAGCAGGGTGGTGATGCTGTCAGGGCTGCGCATAAGGAGCCTATCCAACCTCCAGCTTTACAAAGACTCGGCCCGGAGCAGGAAAGGAGCAGCCGGCCATGCTTCCCTGTGCTTTCCAAAGGAGGGACCGGAAGTCTAGGAAGGGTAAAGGACTTGGCCAAAGTCATACAACAAAAGTGATCAAGCTGAAACTCACCAGGCAACCCTCTCCCAGGCCAAGGTGTCCCCCAGCAACCCAGCTTCCGAGCCCTGATAAAGCCACACTCACAAGCCTGGCGGGGGTTTCTAGCTGCCAGCTGGCACCAGCCTCATCACCTCCCTGTTCATGTGTCAGGTGGCGGGCCCTTAGCAAATATTGTCACTGGTAGTGAGGCTCCAAGCAACCCTCCTCCCAGCTCACCTGGGCTGGATCTCTGCCCAGCAACCTCCCAGAGGTCAGGGGTCCCAGCAGCCACCCCCTGCCCTGCCCACTGGGGCACAGGAAAAGCGGAGAATTTCGGAAGGTCTCCCAGCAATAGCGGTTGTCATTGCTACAGGGGGTGATGTAGGTAGGGGTCCATAGGGGTTTCTCAGTGGGATGTGGGTAGGGTTGGGCAGGAGAGCCACGTTGAAGGTGACAACGCCCACTTTTTACTACCCAGGTTCCTGCTGCACCCAATGGGCCTGGCTGGCCCATACCTTGGCCCTTTAAGTTCCCCTAATGTCCCTGAAGATGATGGGGGTGAAGGGATCTGACAACAGACAGAGCTGAGTTCAAATCCCACCCCCAACTCTCCCCTCCTGGGTGACGGATGACAAGTCACTTAAGTGCTCTGCCTCAGTTTCCTCATCCGTCACAGGGGAGAGTAACAGGGCCACCCCACAGGAGTGAACGCCACGAGGCAGGTTGGGAAGGCGGCTCTGAACGTGTCTGACGATAGCTCTGTGAGAAAGTTAGGACCCAGAAGGGGAGTGACCGACCCGGGGTCCCCGCGCCTCCTCCCCCTCGCAGCCCCCAGCGCCCTCTCCTGCCGGCGGCGGCGGCGGCGGCTCCCGGGGCTGGGCGGGGTGGGGGCTGGAAGCCGCAGTGCGGCCCCGGGCGGGTGCGTGGGGGAGGCCTGGCGCGGCGCCCGCCACCCGCCCCGGCCCCAGCCCGCTCCGCCAGCGCCCCCGGGCCTCCCCGCCGCGCACTTACCCCGCGGGCAGGGCTCCCGGGGCGTCGGCCGAGGTCATCGCCGAGGGGCGCGGGCGGCGCTGCCCCCGCCGGACGCCAGCCGCGGCCCAGGTGCTGCCGCCGGAACCCCGAGCCGGGCGCTGTGCGGTCGCGGACGCGGCGGCCGGGGAGGGGCGCGCCGGGGGCGGGGAAGGCGCCGGGGCCGGGCCGGGCCTCGGTCTCCCCACCCGCACCGTGGAGCCATGGCCGCCCGCGGCGACCCGCGCTCCCGCACAGCCGGGGGTTCCGGGCGGCCCCCGCCCCCGCTCCGACAGGTAAGAGCCCGGCGCCCTCCGCGCAGACACCGCCCGGCCGGGAGCTGGCGCCCTCCTCACACGTCCCCACCTATTTGGCGCTAGAAGTTCTTCTCCGGGACCTGAGGCCCACTTGCCTGTCACTTCCCCTCCCCACAGCTCCCGCCCTGAAGCGGCCCCCACCTGAGCCGTCACCATCCTCCCGCACTAATGAAGGCATTCGAGCAGACAAAGACAGCCCCCAGAGTCAGGCCTGGATTTTAATCCCACCATCTCACCCACGGAATGACTGCAGGAGACAAGGCGGGTAAAACGCGGTTTAGCACTCACCGCCAGCTGGCAGTTCACAATGCCTTCTCAAATGATCCCCATAGTTGCTGTTTTACAGATGGGGAAACTGAGGCATGGGGTTCATTTGATTCACGCATGATCACTAACCTAATAAGTGGCAAACTAGGACTGGAATCCAGCCCTCCTGAATCCCAAGCCAACACTCCAGCCCCTTCCCCGCTTGGCCCTCTCTCCCCTGTGTTCCCAGTGCTTCTGTGGGGTCACCCACCACACTCCCCAAATGTCCACTGTGTCCGGAGCCCTGAGGTTGGTGTCTCCATCTGACCTGATCTTCTGGCAGAGAGAGCCACTGGCCCATGAAGAGTTAACCAGCCACCACCTCCTGGCCCCAGATGCTGCTCTTAACCATGACTCATCAGAGCATGTGGCTGCCATTAGAACTGTCCCTTCACAAAGGGAGGGACAGAAGTAAGGAAATACTGTAGCTCCCCTGGAGCAACCATGACCTCCAGGACGTCAGAAGAGGAAGCAGAAGGGGACAGCCTGCAGAAGCGGCCACGGTGGGAACAGGACTTGCACCAGATCCCAGGGGAGCCAGGCAGGTTGGGCTTGATGGTAGCTGCTCAAATCTAAACAGGCTGCCTGGAAAGGCAGTGAATTCCCATCTTGCCCAGTTTTAAGCACGGGCCAGATGCTCACTTGCAAGAATCATCCCATTTCTAGGAGTCACTTATACAGACATGAAAAGATAATTAACTACTAGAAGCAAGGTGTGATGACATCCACCAGCAACTATAAAGAATCCAGACAAGGGGAGAGACTGGGGGGCTTCCTGGAAGAGGTGGGGACAGAACTGAGCCTTGAAGTTTGTTATTTAAACAAACTGAAGTCATGGAGAGGGTGTACCAGCTCGGGGAGCAGTGCGGATGAAGGCATGGAGGTGGGAAAGGACACACTGAGGATAGCTGGAGTTTGGGAGGCTGATGAGACCACCAGCAGTACAAGTAAAGAGGCTGATGAGGCTGGGGCCCCTATGGCATGTCATGCACTTTCAAATCTCTAGGCATTTAAACATGCTGTTCCTTCTGTGTGGAACACACCTTTCGCCTTTGTCCCTTGTTAGTCATTCATGTAACCAGGGGTGGACCCAGAAGCTTGCAATGGGGAGGCCACTGTTCAAAAAAAAAAAAAAAAATTTACCAAAACAGGTTGAGCATTCTTAATTTCAAAATCTGAAATCCAGAATGCCCCACAATTTGAAGCTTTTTTTCTTTGTTTTTTTGAGACAGTGTCTCATTCTGTTGCCCAGGCTAGAGTGCAGTGTCATGATCTCGTGATCTTGGCTCACCATAACCTCGGTCTCCTGGGTTCAAGCGATCCTCCTGCCTCAGCTTCCCAAGTAGCTGGGATTACAAGCACTCACCACCATGCCCAGCTAATTTTTGTATTTTTACTAGAGACAGGATTTTGCCATGTTAGCCAGGCTGGTCTCGAACTCTGGACCTCAAGCGATCCACCTACCTGGGCCTCCCAAAGTGAGATGGATTACAGGCGTAAGCCACTGTGCCCAGCCTAAAACTTTAAGCTTTTTGAGCACTGTAGTTGGAGACTGTGGGCTGCCATGTTCGCTGTGCTGTTGTTACAGCGGACATAGGCATTCTGCTGACGCTCACGTGCTGCTGGGTTACCCTAAACACTTTAGTTTTTCACTGTATTAATGGCATGTTATATTTTTACTGTTAAGTACTTATGTGTGAATAAGAGTAAAAAATGCTTATTGGGAGCATATAAATTCACAGTCAAAAATGATGGTGATACTAAATAATCACAGATTGTCCACATGGGTGGCTGAGAGAGCGACGCCTCTGCTTTTTGATGGTTCAGTGTACACAAACTTTGTTTCATGCACAGAATTATTAAAAATATTGTATAAAATTACCTTTAGGTGGCTGGGCACAGTAGCTCGCGCCTGTAATCCCAGCAGTTAGGGAGGTCAAGGCGGGAGGATCACCTGAGGTCAGGAGTTTGAGATCAGCCTGGCCAACATGGAGAAACCCCGTCTCTACTAAAAATACAAAATTAGCCAGGTGTGGTGGTACATGCCTGTAATCCCAGCTACTCAGGAGGCTGAGGCAGGAGAATTGCTTGAACCCTGGAGGGGGAGGTTGCAGTGAGCTGAGATTGAGTCATTGCATTCCAGCCTG